ACAAGACATGGGATACCAGTCTATATCAGGTCTCATGTCATCCCAACTTCTATAAGAATAAGTTCCGCAGCAGTTGTATAGACATTGAATTGAGTCCACAATTCTATTGCCTGGGTCACTTTGGTTAGACCAGTTATAATGTTCAGTCAGATCTTTAAACCTCTCATTGATTGTCTCATCCTTTATCTAATTCAACAAAACACAATACATTAACAATTTGTAATTTTAAATTTAAATACCAATTAATCACTTACTTTTGAATTATAATAAAAGCTATTATAAGTAGAAAATATTTCAATAGTTACGAGGAATACCAAAAGTAGACAAAACTATTTTAATAAATGATAATAGAATTAACAAATTAAAGACATTGTCAGCTATTAGTAATAAAATGGATATTAATTACCAAAACTAGGATTAGTTTACTTTTGGTATAAGTGGCACAACAGCCAATAAATGCTATTAATATAATGACAAATGACAGTAGACTTAAGGCCACCGATACTTTAATAGCACTTTTGTGGCTCAATTCGTCGATCCAATTATGAATATCATACGAAACCCCATTAGATACAAACAACTGTGTTATTGCAAACACCTATTATAACAAAACATTAAATTAAGTTTTATATTAAAAGGAAAATGTCTATTAAAGAGAAAACATACCACAAGTATAAGATAAAATATGTAGAGAATTATATATTTGAGATAAGACTCGTCCCATTTTAGTCTTTTATGATATTTTGGCCACATTTTCATTCAATCATCATTTTAATGACTTTTCAATCGTGTTATACAATGTCAACAATTCTTGCATGTTTATTTAAGTGTCGTATAGATTACAAAAAATAGTGAATAATTTTTCATAATAGGTAACACTCTATGAAATGCAAAACTTTTGTTATAATTTAAAAGTGAATAATTGAAAAGAAATGAATACTAGTATATTGTAATACCAATAAAATAATTCTCATATAAAACATGCCGTCACCTGTCGTTTGATAGTTTATGATTAAAAACTTGTTGTTCATTAATAAAGTGTTTTCAAGTGTTTAGGAATTTTTCACAGAATAGCTCATTTATAATTTGTTTGATTTCACAATTAATTGTCAATTGTAATAATTAATTTAAAAAATAATTTTTATATATTTACTAGTACTCAGAATAATATAACAATATTTTTTGTTTGTAATCAAAGGCTACTCTATTTTATTATAAAGAAATACATAAAGTATATAAAGAATAAACTAAAAGAAAATTAGTACTGTATGTCAATTCTCCTTTAATGTCAACCCTTTGTCACCAACCAAAATGACCCAGACCACTTTGATTAGATGAATGGTACAGATGTTTGAATTTGGTAGACATGATTTTGATTTTGATTAGCATTCAATCTATATTTTAAATTTTCAAACAATTCCTAATATACTTATGACATAATAGTTATGCTGTAATCCCTGAAAATATCTTATTCTGGAGTCTAAGATGTAAATTGAATCATATGTTTAAAATGCCAACCGGTTTATCACTGTGTGTTTTATAAATTATTCAATTTTATTTTTGAACGGTAAATAATTTAGAAATCGATCTGGATTATTTGTCGAGTCTCAATTCAATGTTAATGAACCCTAAACAATTTCCTTTCATAAACAGTGAGAGTTATAAAATATTTTAAATCATTGAACGCCAAAACAATCACAACATTAAATACAGATACAAATTTATATTATTTGATTTTATTTTGTTGTGATATTTAATATTTATATATTTAATTGTTTTTGTGTTTTTTCGATGGACAGGTAGTTACAGAAGCGGTTTGCATAGTGTTGTGTCCACCAAAACAAAGGACGTGTCAATGAATACATTAATAATTAATATAATAATTGCCTAGTTAATTGTTTTTAAGTTGTAAGTCA